GGCCCACAAAGCTTCTTCTATGGGCTTCCGAAGGCAACGCGGCCTCTGTGTGGCCTGTCCGAAGCCTGCCTCTTCTCTTCACCCACGGGCCCCGCCCGCAAACGTTTCTGCAGGCCGCAGCTTGGCCCACAAAGCTTTTTCTATGGGCTTCCGAAGGGCTGCCGCAGCACAAGCCTTGCTGGCTCAGCACCTGGGCTGTCCAACAAGGCCCCCGCAAACAGCTGCCAGTCTATTAGCACAGCCAGAACAGAGGCATTGCTACTTCGTTTTCTTCTTTTTCTTCTTCTTCTTCTTCTGCTTCTTCTTCTTCTGCTTGCCATTCTCCAGCCACGCAGATAGACCTGCGGCCGTCCACAGGAAGTGCTACGGTCAGCACCAGGGCTGCCGCAGCACAAGCCTTGCTGGCTCAGCACCTGGGCTGTCCAACAAGGCCCCCGCAAACAGCCGCCAGTCTATTAGCACAGCCAGAACAGAGGCATTGCTACTATGCTTCTTGCTGCCTGTTGCTAGTGGTTTTTCTGATCTTGTGATGCTTCTGGGTCTTCTTCTTAGTGCTGCTGCTCTGATTGCTGTTTTTGGTGTATATCCTGGGGTCGCAGGGCACAACCTTGGCATTGGCATCTCCACCTTTGTGGGCTTTAGCGCAGGCCACAGCTAGCCTGTGCGAGGCCACGCAGCCTTGGCATGGCCTGAACTGCCACATACGATGCTAACCGCCGAGGCCACCCTCTTCTTTTCTAGGCTTCCGAAGCGACGGCCCCCCTCAAACGTTTTTCAGCGCCTCGCAGGGCGCAACCTTGGCATTGGCATCTCCACCTTTGTGGGCTTTAGCACAGGCCACAGCTACCCTGTCCGCGGCCACGCAGCCTTGGCATGGCCTGGGCTGCCACGTACGGCGCTAGCAGCCGAGGCCAGCCTCTTCTTTTCTAGGCTTCCGAAGGCGACGGCCCCCCTCAGACGCTTCCCGGCGCCTCGCAGAGTGCAACCTTATTGGCCTTGGCATCTCCACCTTTGTGGGCTTTAGCACAGGCCACAGTTAGCCTGTCCGAGGCCACGCCTAAGGCTAGAACACCCATCTTCTTTCCGCAGACGGGCAACCACCGGAACGACACTAACGCCTTCAGTTACACATGCTACACTCCTCTTGAAAAGGGGTCGGCGGCACCCGGGCGAAGCCCTTACAATCCGGGCGCCGGCCACGCGCCCGTGTCCTTGCCGGAGGCCTTCGGTTGGTAACCGAAGGTTATATACGCTCGCCGCCCCTGCCGCCGACCCTTTTGGTCGACCTCCGCCCGACCCCCGCCCGAAGCGTGTCGACAGATTTTTGACGGATGTTTATGTTATTTATATTTTATCTACCAGCATGATTGCGCATGATGTGGAAAACATCGTTTTTTACAGTGTTTCGTGGCCTTCGGCGGACATGACTTGCGTCTAACAGGGCACCGGTGGTGTCGGTTACGCGTGCCGCGCGGACAGGCTTAATCGACATTTCGTGGGTGTTGGGCACAGAAGTTGCCTAACATTTCCACAACATAGGCCCAAGATAGCCAACATATGCCCAACATAGCCTCCAAGATGGCTCAACATAGGGCCAACATATGCCAACATGGGGCCAACATACGCCAACATAGGCCCAACCTAGGCCAACATGGGCCTAACATAGGCCGACCTAGGCCCAACATAGGCTCAACTTGGGCCCAAGATGTACCTAACATAGACCACATGGGCTCAACTTGGCCCAACCTAGGGCCAAGATGCGCACCAGATAGCTCCACCAAGTCTCGAAGAGAGAGAGAGAGAGGGAGAGACACACAGAGACAAAAAAAAAGAAAAAAAAAAAAGAGAAACAGAGAAAGACAAAACCCACCCTGCACATACCCAAACCCAAATAGGCCGGCGCCCGGCTGTCAGGCGTAAGCCTCATAAATATATATCACCTTTTGCTTTGACATAGAAATGAATCAAACTTCTCGTGCCTTCTAGCTCCTTTCCTTCTTTAAGCCAAACGAACAAACTTGACCAAGAAAAACGCCTTGTGAAGATTGAGTAGAACAACTTAAGCAAGACAGATACAACCTACTGGAGCAATAGAAACACCTATTGAAATAGGACACCAGAAGAAAAAAAATGTTGCCTGGATAGAGGTTAACTGATGCTGTTGCAACTTGGTCTAGCTCATTAGCTTCTTTAGTAATGCATTCATTTGTTTGAATCGTAATGCTCTTAAGAAGAAAAATGTTTTTAAAAAATTACACCACCGTAGACCCCAAACAGGTGGGACAACAACAAGAAGGGAGCCAAGACCGGAGACAAAGGGAGACAGAAGGGAAACAAGGCGGAAAAGGGCGGACACGAGCAGTGACAGACCTGGGAGACAAATGAATAGAAATGTTGCATGGCCAACGGAAAAGACACCACCTGGGAGACAAATGAATAGAAATGCTACATGGCCAGTGGAAAAGGGCGGACACCACCAGTGAGAAACCTGGGAGACAAATGAATAGCAATGCTACATGGCCAGCGGAAAAGGGCGGACACCACCAGTGAGAAACCTGGGAGACAAATGAATAGCAATGCTACATGGCCAGTGGAAAAGGGCGGACACCACCAGTGAGAAACCTGGGAGACAAATGAATAGCAATGCTACATGGCCAGCGGAAAAGGGCGGACACCAGCAGTGACACAAAGGGCGGACACACCTTAAGAAAGAATTGAGAACCCCTAACAGTAAACTGTTTGGGGAATACAGACAAAAAGCAAAAGAACTCGTGTGAAGGTTGAAGCGGTTTCCTTTTGGTGCTCAATGTTAAATGCATTTGAGCGAAAAAGTTAAGCAAGACTTTGCGAACAGCTTGCAAAGGATGTTTAGCGATGTCCGAAGCACAGTGGCTCCAGTGCTCGGCAAAAGCCGTCGTACAAAGCCTGAAAACTATGCAACTGTGCTAGGAAAAATCCATATTCAGGTATTAGAGGATTTGGATGTGTTGTTGTCTTGGTCTCTTGGTGCTGCCTTCATTTTGTCTCAAACATTGTTGTTTTAAATGTGTTTTTGTATTCCCTCTAAACCTTGGTCGGCCTGGTCTGAAAGAATTGAAGCAAAACAATAGCTCAAAACCTAGATTTTTGTGAGGTTTCAGCCAACAAACACGTGTTTTTCATCATGTTTTGCACCAGAAAACATCTTCCTCAGGAGCACCCGTTCTGCCAAAAGATGAGTCTAGACCTGGTTCATGTTTGGTTTTGGACCGGGATCCTCCCCAGTTGGGACCGAAGACTTAGACAGCACAGGTGTATCGGTAAACCTGAAGGGCAGAACGAAAAACACAAAAAAGAACGTTTCGGCAAAAAGACGCTTCCACACTCATAGGTCTTGATGGGTTTGACGGTTTGTCCTCTTTTCTCTTGTCTTGTGCCTGGAGAGAAGGAGGACTGACCTGACTGACCTGACTAAACGCAGCTCAATTTCATTGAGCTACTCGGAAAACATCATGCAGAACCAACCCGCTACAAGGTGAACAAGACAACTGGAACTTGTTAATGAAATTATACGTCCTTCGTCTCCGGCAGAGTTTGACATGAAGTGAAATGGCTCAATCTGTCACCTTGATGATTGAAAGAATGATCAGAACCTGTTGGTCCTCGTTTAAAAGCAATGCCATCCACTAGCAGCGAAGTTCGTTCGTTCACCAGCGCCTCAAATGAAGCATGCACCACACTGCACCACATCCCTCCTTCTGGAAGTAGTTCCTGCCAATTTGGTGAAGGTGTGAAAGAGTCGAAGTCGGGTTGCTGATTCAATCCATCCCAAGAAATGCGGTCTGGATGAAACAAGAAGCAGAAGAATCCATAGAAACGAACACCACCTAGAAGCGAAACGGACACCAGGCGTACAAAAAGGGCCATGTCCTCGTTTTGACGCTTGGTCTACTTCTGTGTGAGGGAAGGTCGAAAGCCACCCTGATATGTAGCACAACTGAACATAGAGGACGACCGCGTATTGCAGGGTATCTATCTTCTTGAAAAGAATTCTACAAACACTTGATGTTCTTGAGATGTTTCTTCACACATCCTGTACGGATGAGAGAAATCGTGCACATACTCTGACACACGACGGACACGTTTACCCTGGCGGTCCCCAGGCAGTTGCGGTACGGCGATCCCTCTTCATCCATTCCTACCTGGCTTCTTCCCGGATGAACATCAAAAGAACTGGACGAAGACCTCAAATGAACAAACGCATCGAAAACCCAATAAAATTGCCTCAAAAACCAGTAGAGCATCCCAAAACCTCGTGTATATTCATTCCAGATCTTCGTGGGAAGACGAAAACACACCTCTCACCGGGGCCGGACGGGAAAGCACGTCGGACGAGCAGCGCACCGTCGTCACCCCGCTCGACAGCGTCGCGTCGCGCCTTTCAGGGCCAACATCCTTGTGGTCGGTGAGCCTCTTTCGGCCGACAACAGCCGGGTCTGAACGGCAGTAACAAGAAGCTACTAGGAACAAGTGCCTTACTAGTAGTAACAAGTGCCTTACTAGTAGTAACAAATTAGAATTAGATTAAGTTAAATTTAAACAGCACTGGTTTCTTTTCTTTCGCGGGGCGGGGGTGGAGCGCTGGATCGCGTCGAGCATCGGGCGTGTTTGGTCACAGTGCTTGAGATGCGTACGTACACTGAGCTGAATTGATGGATTGCAGGGCACAAGCAGGAAAAGACCCTTGTAAGGTTTGTTGCAGAGTCCTCTTTCCAGGCAACTTCAGCCAGTTCGAGCACGCTGCTCACCGACTTCCATGCTATGGAGCTGCAGCTAGCCTGAGCTTACAGTGGATGCCCTAGAATCTAGAAGTCGAACTACCAGTCCTTTAGATGGGGCCCGAAGTTCGAACAACCATTGTTTTACTAACGATTTTACAATACAAAACCACTTTAAAAATGGTCGAACGGACTTCCAGGGGATGGTGATGGGTTGAGCGGGTTGACCCCTACTAGTTACCAATAAGTCCCATGATTTCGAGATCAACCAGCTTCAAAATGCTCGAACGGAACGGAGGGGACGGTGATGAGTTGAGCGGATTGAGCGCACGAGGCACCCCTCCTAGTTACCTAGTCCCACGATTTCGCTGTTAAGCTGTGACTGGGAAGTTTGGGGGTAATACCTCAAGCTGTATGGACATGAGCTCTCCTTGACCCACCTGGAATGGACAAGGTTTTGTTGGAATGATTCTTTCAGTGCAAAACCTATAATTAGGATGATTTTTAAAAATGTAATATTATAGACTCTTGATGAATAGAAAAAAAACTTTTGGATTGCGAAGCCTCTTCATATGGGGAGCTTTGACTTATCCAAGACCTGGTGTGGAATCTGCAACCACGTGCTCGGTCGATCGAATTCCTTCTTCGTCCACGTCCACTCGACCGATCACGCGGTGATCACGACAGAGGAACCCGAAAGACGCGAGGGCACATGACATGACAGATGAAAGTAGGAGCAAGAAGGACGCTACGAATGGGGCTCCTGGCCTTATAACGACGAACGGAGCGATCGGACGCGAACCGAACGGAACAATTCGGGCATCGCTACGAACGGAGCAAGAACACGATTTCAATAGAGAGACACCCGATCACCCCTGGCTTGTTATAGACCTCGTTAGTCGACGTCTTTCCGGGCGGTCTCCGGCCAACACGCGGGGAACCGGTCTCCGTGGTTCGGTGCCCTTCGGTGCCGGTTCGGTTTCCAATGGCTGTCCGAAAAAATGAACGAAAAAAACAGGTCCGAAAGCACCAAAGAAAGAACGAACGGCGGTTTTGTGCTGAGAGAACATCAGAGTCGATGCTTCGAAAGGCTTCAGATAGAACTGGGCCATCCTTGGGATGGCTTCTGGACGAACTTGGACAACCCAAGAACGAACTCAAAATCCACAAGCTTTGACCGAAAACTGACCCCCGAAATCAGGTGCAAGTGCATGTCTAAGTCTAAACGGGTCAGGACCAACGAAAACTAACACTTAAGAAGGGCCTGAAGGCTGGCACAGTACTAGGTGGGAATTCGGAAAACCCACATCCTTCAATGTTGCAGCTGAATGTCAGACTTGTCCCCCCCTTACAGTAGGTGAAAGATGAAATTAAGACACGGCCGTCCATCGTTTTTGGCATTTGTGGTATATCATCTGTGGTTCTGTATATCCATCTGTTGGAAATCCTGCTACTCTCCTACTCCCAAGTCATTGGTTCTGCTTTTCAGCCGCAGCCCGCCCGAACTACGCGGCCTGAAGAGTGTGCACCCAGTGACCAGGCTGAAGATCCTGACCGGGACAAGGGATTTTTCGAGTCCAAAGTCAATCCCGCCGGCCGCCTCCCTAAACCGGAGTGCGCCTGGCTCCAGCCAATGGACTTGGAGCAATGTGTTTCAGAGTCGTTTCATGCCAAGATCTTAGGTCCCTCGCTTTGGACCCTCGTTTTGGTGTGTTTTTTGCTCGGGGAGCATCCATGTTTTGGTGCAAAATGCTCGAGCAACAGCTCTGCCTGCTCTCATGTTCTGTCTGCGACCGTTTTCCGACGTTCAAGCCGACCCATTCCTATGGAGTCGAAGATGGTGTGATCTTGGGGCGAAACAAAGTGCGAACATCCCATGTAATCAGAGGACTCGGCTTTTTTGGGAAAAAAGAAAACCTCGTGCTACTTGGACTCAACCAGGGGTGCATCCCACATGCATCTGCAGATCAGCTGGTATGGTAATGAAAATGGTTTTTCAAAAAATGCAATGATGCTGAGAAGGCTGGCTGGTGTTGGTGTAGACACGTCAGGGGCATCTTCTGAACGCATATTCTACTGAGCAAATAAATTGCAGGCCAAGCATTTGACAAGTAGAACTGCGAATCAAGTGACACCAATCCAAACCTATCAGTATTAAACCAATTAATCATCCATATACACAAACATTAAGCGAAACCACCAACTTTACATATATATATGTTGGTAGCCCAGCCTTCCCTGCGGTCCACGCAGGCCTTTTCTCCTCATACGCTCGGGCATCAAAGTCCCTGCGACATGCGATGATCGTTCCACGATCGGTGCGGCACAGTCGAATCAACACTCCTCTTTATTTTCGAAAGGAGCGTCGAATACCACTACCTGGAATGACGCTCTGGTCCGGATCTTCGACACCACGGCTGTTCATGTAGTGAACAAAGTCCTTGAGACCGGGCGAGCCACTTTCACAATGGCTGAGGCAGAACTTGCGGTATCCTGCCAAGGATTCGTCCTTGCTCTCGAAGACCTCACGGTAGGTCTTGACATCTTTGAACTTCCCAAAGGACATGTAGCATTGCCCCCACTGATCCAAGGAACTAATCCCTGGTGGAAGCAAAGCCTCCGGCAACACGACCTTGCTCTTTCCCCCACTCGATGAGGGCATAGGACCAGGCACTTCATTCTCCAAGCCAGCAAGATAGGTAGTTCCAGCGGAGGTATAGCCATGGTAGTGCTCATCACGGAGCCTCTTACTCCCGTCCGACATCGTTCCAGAAGGGGACCGATTGGTAGGCTCAGGGCCGTCATGGATCAGGTCCTCGGCGTCAATCACCTGTTGCCACACGGACTTCCAAGCTCCAAGACGTCGAGCCTTCAGGATGAGGCGGGCACATTCATCTTGCTCCTGAGGAAGGAACACTTGGTCGCTCTTCATGGCCATAGCTACAAGCTCTCACAGTGGCAACCCAGCCACTGAACGCGTCGAACACCTAAGGATGATCATTTGATCACCTGCTGGAAAGCGGCATCAACACACAACTCCAAAATGGAGGTTGGCAAAAACAAATGCATGTCTCAAAACGCAGGGCAGATGGCTGTACAAATCAAAAAGGACATGTATGTGGAGTCTTCATAAGGCGGCTCAAGGAGTGAACTAGCTAACACAAGAAACACACGAATCCCCTATGCATTGACTTCCGAGTGTTTACACTCGCCCCC